GAAGTGTTTACATCCAAGAAAGCCTCTGTAAGCAGAAAGAGGACTCGGGTGTGCGCTTTGAAGCACTAAATGCTTTTTCTACAATCAAATATCCATTATAATCGGGTTATAGAGAAATAAAGCAAAATAAATATGGATAAAAGGGTGGAATACTTTGTTTATAACGCTTCCCTTCTTTTGAGCGTAAGAGCCCCACAATAAGAATACAACGGATGAGAGGTTAGAGTTAAGCCATTTGATGACAGCATCAGTAAATTGCTCCCAACCCTTATTTGAATGAGAGTTGGCGTTATGTGCCTTAACTGTAAGGCATGCGTTCAACAAAAGTACACCTAATAAATAATCAATAATTAAATTATTAGCCGCACATCTTATTTGATTATAGAGACAGACCCTGATTGGCCCAACCCGTGAGATCTCCGTGATTTGGTTTCTTAAAGCCATTAATATCAGATTCAAGCTCTTTAAACATATTAAGCAAACTATAAAATGTCAAAACAATTAATAGTAAAACAATATCTGTATTATAAATTCTACAGTTTATAGAATACCTCGGGGGCGCCGCAACTCCCTTTCGGACACTAAATGCTAGACCTAAACAAAGATTGCAATTATTATAAAAGTTGATATAATTTGATAAATGACTAGCCGTGAGCCTGATTTGGGCCGTGATAGGGGTCCTGACCGAGAATCACTACTTTTGTCTGTTTAATAGTAGTTTATTGTTAACATTAAGATATGCTTAATCTATTGAATTGGTTTTACGTGAGAAATGTCATTCATGAGAGTCCACGAGAAGACCTGTTCGATCGGAGGATAAATAGTCGACAAATTGCGCTCCGATTCCAAAAATGTGCTCAACTTTTAATTCAAAATACAAACTCATTAGAAATGTATACAAAAACGAAACGCTAATTACTTGTTGGAAATAAGGTTTGGAGAACTCAGATCGAAGTGCTCTGAACCAAGTGTGGCCAATATTAGGAGAGAGAGCACTGGTTTTAGCCGATTGCTTAGCAATTATTTCACTCAAATCACAAACAGTGCTAATTGTGCTAATAGTGGACTGTTTGGACTGTTGTTGCAATGTTTTCTGTTGTTTAGCCTTATATGAAGAGAAGCCAAGTTTGAAACATTAATTCATAATAGATATTATGGACTCAATATTACTACCGATTCATTGCTTGAGTCCCCATTTGCTTGAGTTTCACTCAGTTTTCGTTTGACTGATTGGTTAGGTTTGAAGAATGATGTGATAGGTCTTTGCGACATAGCTTTAGATAATAAACACTTTAACATCTAATAGTTAATGCCTATAAATGAGTGAAAATGTGTGTTATTATAATTAACAACTTATATTTTACTTGTTTTCAATTTATATTTTATAAAATTCAAACAACATATTATGAAAGTCGACAAAACTTTCGTTCAAACAATAAATTATAATGAGATCACAGATGATTGCTATAATGTACACAATTTTAAGTACAAAAATACTATAATTTTGAAATTAAAAAACATTTCCAAATCAAATATTAAAAGTCTTCGTCCATAAGAGACTTGCGTTCGTCATCATTGAGCGAATTGAAGAACTCAGTGATCATATGCTGTTCTGAATGGGCGGCGTTGAGTGGAGCGGTCGTGTCCTCAAAATTGTCTTTACTGAGACCCGCTTTGTTCAGTACTTCCAACTTCTTACTAATCATAGGCCATATCATGTCATCGATTGTGTCTTTTGCCACTAAATAATAAATTTTTACGTCATTT